CCGCTGGGATTCGGGGCATAAGGGCGTTGATGCCCCCCCATCACCATTTTGGGGAGGATTCACGCCCTTTCATCACTTCCACGCAGCTCAGCATCACCCCCCCAGGCATTGGGGGGGAGGCTCAGCACCCAACTCCCCATCAACCCCAGAGCAGCAGCTCCTAAGGATCAGCTCCCAAAAGATGTGGGACCCCCCCCACCCCAAAACCACTACCATTGCTTTTCACATCACTCAGGTCACAGCTCAAAAGCGCAGGGGAAGCGCCATCTCGGCCAGGTCCAAATAAATTCAGTATCATCATCAAAGCCCCCTCCCTCCCTCCCTTCCCAAATAATGCCAAAAAAATAAAATAAAAGGTAATTTCTGGGTCTTAACGTTAAGAAACATAAAGTGTTAGACTGTACCTATTAATGCTCACTATTCCAACCATTTTTTTTTCTTTTTAAAGTTTTACAAAATGAATTACCGTCACTTTTTTTTTTTTTAAACATTGTGTAAGAAGAAATGAGTGTGCACAACTCTACACTTTTCTAGCATTCTTGAACTAATTCACAAATGCGAGAAAATGGAGGAAAAAAATAAAAACAAACCATGGGAAAAACAAACAAACAAAAAAAAGAAAGAAGATGAATGTAGGTAGTTTGATGTTATAAACTATACAGGAATGAAGAGCTTGTTGCCACAGAAAGAACAGGGACGGGACCTTCCCCCTGTTCAATTTTGCGTGCTAAGAGGGTCATTTTTTATTCTTTTATTATAAACACTATTAAATTCCGACTGCGTTTTTGGTTTTTTTTTTTTCTCCTTTATCTGAATATACAAGAACATTCATTATCAAATGTTCGTTATCATCAATACTACAAAGAACGAGACACAAATCGCAAGAAACAATGGAAAATGTTAATAAAGCTGAAAGAATCGTCGAGTTTTTTTTGTGGTTTTTTTTGTTTTTATTTTTTTTGAGTTTCTGCAGATTTTTTTGTTTGTTTTTTTTTTGTTTTTTAATTTCATTTTGCTTTTTTGGTATCGAAGTCAGGTTTTTCTGGGCAGAAAAAAAAATTAAAAAGAAAAAAAAGGAAAAAACCCCAAAAGCTTCAGGGTTGGGGGGAAAAAAAGTAAAAAAAAAAAAAGGAAAAAACCCCACAACACTCAGGGTTGGGGGGGGCAGGGGGGAGTGTAGGGGAGGAGAAACAAAACCCAAAAAATAAAAAAAGCAAAGGAAAAGGCAAGCAAGCAGCTATGCCAGCACAAACCAGAGGGACCCACCGGGGAAGATTTGCAAAGTACCGTGGAGGAGCGAGAGCCCTGCCTGGGCAGGGGGTGCCGCAGGCAGGGGGGTGCAGGCAGGACGGGCAGCGGCTGCAGAGCGGGGGGAGGCAGCCCCGGCACCGTGGGGGGGTTTCAGCTCCTTCCCGGTTGGTTTCCAAGAGGTACTGTGGCATTCCCACAGGCACGGCACAGAGAACAGACCTGACCCAGTCCCGCATCCCCGCGATACTCTGCCAGAATGGTTTCATGTAAAATAATCTGGAAATGGTTAAAAGGCTGCGCTGGGGGAGGCTGGGGAGGAGGAAAGCAGCACCTCCTAACCCTCCTTGCAGGGAAAAAAACCTCCTTGTTGCTCTTAACATATGCCCAGCCAGGAGGCAAGCCCCAAACCTCGCACATCACATCTCGCTCTTCAACGTGGTCCCTGTCCCCGGGCAGGGATGCGAAAGGAGGAGCAGAAAGTATCTCACTTCTGGAGATGTAAAAACTAAGCCAGGAGCAGCTTGTGCTGTTTCTTGCCCACCTTTCATGTCCTGCTCTGATCCCGCCAGCTGAGCAACAGAAAGTCCCCTGATTTGGGACTTTTGATATTCAGAGGAAGGTCACCAATGTCAGAGCCGGTGTTGGGGAGCCTGCTGGGCTTGTTCCCCAGGGAAAGGCAGGTTTCACCTCCGCCTCAAGCAAGTCACGCTGCTGGCCCCACACTGCAAGGTGACAGTGCGTCAGAGCCATGGCCACATCCTTTTCCCAGCAAAAAGGTGGAAATTTTTCTGGCAGAGCTTTAATTTCAAGCGGTTCACACTTAATGCTGGCAGCTCGCATCTCAAGAGAGCTGGCACCAACACGGGTGTGCAAGAGAAGGGGATGCGGCCAAAAGGTATTTGGATGTACCACGAGGTGCCAGACACGCTGGACCCACACCGGTCCCCACGACACCCAGGGTCTTGCCACGGGCTGGCTCAGCCTCCCCGCACCTGCTGGAAGAACCAGCGGCTGAAAGTACCTCCGTGGCATGAAGCTCAGCCCGAGCCCAGGGCACACCGGTGCCTCCGCACCCCGCTTTTCAACAAAAGTCCTCCTGGCATCGGCTGCCCGAAGGGGCGTTGCAGCAGGATGAGGGCTTGCTTACCACCCATCACCCCTTGTCCAAAATGCAGACCAGAAAAACCGGGCAGGAAACCCCCCAAGTGTTCCCACAGCTTGGGATGCTGCTGCCCAGAGTAACACCCCGGGATCAAACCAGCAGAAAGACATCCCCGAGTGGGACACCCACCTGTCCTATAGAACGTCACCCTCAAGCATGAACCGTTACAAAAAGCCCCCAACGCACTCACCCCACCACCCCCAGACTCCAGGACCCCACTGCCCAGGGATGGGGCAGGGCTTTGGCCACGCAGCGGGTGTCACCCACCTCCGCAGGTCCTGCCTGAACCGAGGAACCCCACCTCCTCCTCTTCTACAGCACGGCATGCTCCCAAAAACATGCACCAACACCCCACACCACTCTCCTCACCAGAAAAAAATCCACCACCAGCCTCCCCTAGGTGCTGTGACAAAAACTGCTGGGGTCTGATCATCAACACCTGATCCCATAACAACAGGGGAGGTGCTTGGTGCCTTCGTTATTGGGGACAGCTGTTCCTCCTCCACCTCTGCCTCAGCAGGGGGCAGGTCCCTTCTGGGTCTCCCATCCCACCACGGACTGCAAGGCTCCATCAGCCGGATGGGGCCAGAAACAATTCTGGTGAAAACAAGGATTTTGATAAATTGCAAGCGCTCATGGAAAAAACCAAATTTTTCTCCAGACACCCTGAGCTCTGGTTGGTTGGGGTTTTTTTACCCCCAAATAGGATTCTTCCCCATCCAGAAGGAAAAAATAGCAAACATCACTCCAGCTGCTGATGGAGGGGTTTCACAGCTCATCCAGCTCCCAGCAGCCGGTGGGATGTGCGGCAGAGCAGGGCAGGGACTGGGAAGTGCTGCTGGTTTTCCCGGGGCTGGGAATGGACCGGTACCTTTTGGAAGCGAAGGGGAGCGTGCCCAGCTCCTTCTCTTACGTGCACGGGGGACTGCGCCCAGCTACCCCATCACCAGCAGTGACGGGATGGTTCACCGAGGCAGGGCTGGGCGCGGAGGCGATGTGCTGGCTGCGGCTGGGGCCGGCGGAGACGAGGCGGCGTTGTCCCTACGGAGAGGTAGCATGAGAGACGGTGGCGGGGGGCGAGGGCGGTTGTCTGCTAATAAAGGAGCGAGACGTGACGGGTGTACGCTTGTGGCTCCCCCGAAAGATGGCCCCCGCGGGGCGGTCCGCGCTTTGGGGTCGCTTTGAGTGATGGCAGCTGATTTTTGCTTTTCCTTCTTAAAAATCCTTCTACCTGCGGACACATCCTTTTGGTGGGAAGGGGTGAGAGGAAGGGAGTGGTGTTGTGGCGGTGGCAGGGAGGCGGGGAGAGCGGCTTCTACCCAGAAAAGAAAGGGAAGAGAGTATAAAGAAGTGTCCAGATTGGCTGATAAAAGCATCCCGACGAAGAGAAGAGAAGAGAAGGAGTCTTCTTGTGTGTGCTGATTGGGTTCACCTCCAGTCTGACTGCTGCGGTGTTAGGAGAGGCCCCCTCCCCTCCCGCCCCCGCCGGGGCCGGCTCAGCCAGGGATGCAATTTGCTGGGAGATCAGTTGGAGGTATCAGAGTGAACGCTGCCAGGGCCTTCTGTGGGGGAGGTCACCGATGACGGGGTAGTAGCGTCTTGCCAACCTCCATTAGCCTGCGGGAAGGGAGACAGGGAGATGTCAGCCCCCCAACGGCACCTCACCCATCCGCCTGGACCCTCCTGCTTCGCCCTTGGCACGGGCCAGCGTAGGAGGTGAAGGTGTCCCCTCTCGGTCCGCCATCCCACCACGGACTGCAGGGCTCTATCAGTGGGATGGGGCCAGAAACAATTCTGGTGAAAACAGGGATTTTTGACAAATCGCAAGCACTCATGGAAATTCTGTCCCTTAAAAAATACATTTTTCTGCAGACACCCTGAACTCTGGTTGATTGGGGGTTTTTTTTACCCTCAAGTAGGACTCTTCCCCATCCAGAAGGAAAAAATAGCGAACATCACTCCAGAAACCCCATCCTGGGATGTTATCTGGACCCAGGTGCTATGAACATGCAGAACAACCGATGGGTCCCAAGGGACCTCTGAGCCACACCATGTCCCCCAGCATTGCTCCATGTCCCCCCTCACTGCCCTTCTGGGCACCCCTCCTCCTGTGTGGGGGGAAGCCATCACCACCAAGCCTTGTCACAGGGCAGACGTGCCACCCACACACCTCTCTTGCCACCATGAAGGCTGCATTTGGGGACTTGGGCCACCTCCCTGCTCCCAACCCAGGAGCCTTCCCCTCCTCACTTTGCAGTAAAATCACAAATTTCTGCCACCCTGGGGCTGATCCTCCCTGTCACTCCTCCTTGAGTGACAGCGCAACGGAGGTGCCACCACCATATCCCATCTGAGGGTTCATACAGCAAAGCATGGTGGATAACTTGTTTCTTCTCCTAAAAACAGACACAAAGCCAAATTCTCCAGCCTCTCGAAAGCAGAGCTACCGGAGCGTCCTGGCTGCTGCAAGCAGGAGCCAGCAGCGCACAGAAGTTTCTCCTCTGTGGCTGCCATCCCCTTTGGAGAGGAGCAGATGCTGCACCCAACCTTCTTCTGCTCACTCTGACATTGATTCAGTGCTCGGCTAATTAATCCTTCCCAACCACTGCCCAAGCTCAAGTCAGTAGTAGTCACCGTCCAGCTGCCTGGATGACCGGTTCCAGGCACAGGGCATCCATCACTGGCCATCAGCCAGGACCCCACAGGCCCCCAAAGTGGGGTATGGGTAGGAAACGCTGCATTGCCTTGAGGAGCCAAGCAGTCACCCAGGACTCACCAGGCGGTTGTCCACGCTGCCAACCAGCTCCTGCCTGCCCGACAGCCAAGCCAGGATGGGAGCAAAGAGCTGACCACGGGCGAGCATGGGGACCCACGTTTTGAGGGATGAAACCACCTCGCAACGGGACACACACAAAGCAGAAAGGACGGAGGTGTGCACACATGTGATGGGCTTGTGTGCTCTTCCGTGCAAATGCGGTCCCTTGCAAAGGGGTTCAGCAAGGAAGACAGGAATCACGACCTGAGCTTGTAGCAAGTTAGCAAACCCCACTCTGCTTCACCTTGGGTGCAAACACGAAACCAGACCACGCACGAACATCACCAGCCCCATGTGCCCCCACTCGCAGAGACCCCGGGCTGGCCATGCCCACTGTCCCCACCAGCTTCCATCCCACCCTGGCCCCGACCCACCATCCCTGCGCTTCCCAAGACGCAATATCCACCCTCCATGTCTTGGACCGCTGCAAGAGGCAGCAATTATCGTAGATTATCAGCCCGACAATGACAGGCCGCGTAAAGAGAGACACAGAGCCAACTCTGCCGCCCCAAGACTGGCATATTCAAGTACACTTAGGACATTAATAGCAATTTACGTGCCATCAGTGAGAGAGTACCACAATAGCTGCGCTGGCAGCCTCTTATTACCAAGCCTGTTATTTGTTGGAGTTACAAGCTATAATCACAACAGAAACTTTCAAAACCCTTATCTTCCGTGACGCACCAAATCTATTTCAGAGCCGTAATTGCTATGTCACCGGAGAGTTTGCTGCTTAATGCACTCAGATGCCATTTAGTGTTTGCAGGGTCATTACAGCGAGCAGGAGGAGGGGGGGAGAGCGGAGGGGGCCGCACAGAGCAGGGCTCCGGCCCTATTGTGCTCAACTATTTTTAGCGAGGCTTTTGCGTGCCAGCTGCGCTTGGAAGGAGCGAGAGGCTGCCGACGATAGCTACGGTGCCTCCACATTTAGCAGTTTGCCCCTTAAAATTTTGGGGATCCCCATAATCCTCCAGATGGGAATCAGCCTCTGTGTGTTGAGGGAGCTTGTGCTGCTGGTGATCACCTTGGCGGTAAGATGATGATCCATAAGAGGACGTTGGGGAGAGGCTGACCCTGATCAGGGCACCCTCCATAGACCCCACTCCCTCCTGCTCTCCCAGCCTGGGAAGGCTGCAAGTGATGGGTCAAGCAATGGAAAGGAGGCCCCAAGGTTGGTCAAAACTTTAGCATCTTGATGCCATTGTTTGGTATGGACAAGCCCTCCACAAGGAGGCCAAATCCATCCATGCTCATCCCTCTTTTCCTGGAGTTCACCCCATCGCTGCATGGACCCAGCCATGTGCAGGATGCACCTGATACCATCCAGCTGGCCCTGCCACTTTCTGAAGCAAGGAGATCCCTTGGGATCCAACTGCAGTAAATCCCTTGGGATGTCCCTCAAAGATGAAGGAGTTTTGAGGAGGCTGCTGCTCCCCTGAGGAGCCCCTGCACACAGCTGGGACTTCTTCAGGAGGAACAGAAGCCAAAGACAGAGCAATAGTTTCCAGGATGTCTCTTCAAATGCCACCTTCTGGTGCCAGAGACCAGGCAAGACCTTGGTGGCTGTCCAAGTGGCGGAGCCCCAGTGATGGACTGCTGAAGCAACCAGTTTTGGTGCCCATTTCCACGGGTCTCACAGTGTTTTTGTCACCTCCAGCAAGTCTGGTTGGCTCTCAGCCTGGGCCTCCTACGTGGGGCTGGGAAGACGACTTTCTGCCAATTTTAGAAGAGCCTTCTGCCTCGCACGGAGGCTGCCTCAACCTCTCATCTTCTGTGACCAAATCCATGTCCTACCATCAACGGGGCAGGGTGTCAGGTCAACCTCCAAACACATCAGATACCGGCAAGTCTGGCAGACTGGGAGTAGCCTCAAGGAGGTTTCAGACCTCTGAGCTCTTCAGAGCCTGTATCAGGCTCTCCTTATGATACTGACAGAAGCTCTTACTACACACCAGAGAATCCAGCCTTGCCTGGCCATCACTTTCCAAAGGTCACAGTGGCAGGCTCAGGACGCACCAAGGCATCTCTGACGGATGGGGCTCGGGCACTGAAGCCCCACCAGATCAGCTTCCACATCCCAGCCTGTGACCACGATGGTGAACTGCAGCTTGCTGAGGAGCAGAGCAACATCTTTCTTTTGAAGACCCAAATTCTGAAGAGTCTCAGCACAGGTGAGGAGGTCTCACCTCCTACAGGGACCAGTGCTGGTGATCCTTGCTGCCAAGAGGGGATGCAAAACTCAGTGGCACACCTTGCCGCTGACCACCACCATCACGGCAACAAAAACTGCTTCGTGAATAGAGACAGCTCTGCAAAACAGCATTCTGAAATAAAAAAACCCTTGCACTCTGATGAATTTTAAAAACAGTCCCTCATTTCAGACTTTTATGTGATCTATAAATTAAATTAAATAAAGTCCAAAAAGAAATTTCTGGAAAAGTTTTTCTTTAAGGGGACTATAGCCCATTCATTAACAGACCCATCAGTGCCTTTGTAGCATCCTCAGTCTGAACTACAGGCATGTTTAGATGCAAATCCCCAAGAGCAGTGCACGGTGTGGTCCAGGGGTGCTGTTAGACGGGGGGAGCCTTGCAGGCATGACCCACCCAGAGCCTGGCTCCTCCTCCCACACATGCTTAACAGGGACCTCAAACCCTTTGTGGATTTAGGGTCACAAAGCAGCAGCAGGAAGGGCAATGTTTTGGGCTGGGACCTTCCACAGGATTACAGATCCACCTTCTACTGGAACCCACCAGAACCTGGACATCAAAACAGTTCAAAACCCCCAGCCTTGGGGACCCCTAGCTGAGCAGACATGCGGACCCCCACGAACAGGCGCTGTCCAGAGGGACCAGGCACCTCTTGCTTAATGGTGTAAAACCTCCGACCTCAAAGCTAGCATAAAGGGCTGGATCAGGCCCTGAACAACCCCTCCTTTCAGATGGGGGGGTCCCGCCTTCCCCTCCATGCTACCCAAGGCAGGCGGGCAATCCTCAAGACAGCTCCTGCCTCTACCCCCCTCCATCACCAAGAGCATCCCTGACCCTCGCTACGCCCGGTGCTGCCCGATGCCGTCTCCACCTGCAGAGAAGGCGGCTGTTCTTGTTCTGCCTCAGCCGTCACTGCAGGTCACAGAGATGGCGACGGCTGGGATATCACCCATTATCCTGCTAACGATGCAGAACCAATGCCAACCGTTGTCGCCCTGCAGAGAGGTCTGTCAGCCGTCGAGCAGCAGAGCCACGGAGGGAACTGGGCTTTGGGTAGACTCCTGTCCTCAGCTGTCATGACTTACACACATTTAAAAATTCATCCTCCATCAAGGAAAGCAAACCCTGAGCGTTGTCTCCCCTGCCAAGGTTTGGAGCTGGGCAACCTGCCGCTGACTTCCCAGCCCTGACGGGCTCCAGGGATGACTTAACCTCAGCCCCGTGCAAACATCTTTGTGACAGGGCTCTTGACTAGGTTTCAGCTCATCTCCTTCCAGCAGCTCACGGGGATGCTCGGGTGATGTGGGGATGGCAGCTTTCTGTGTCACTAGCAGCTTTCTTCTGCAACCCTCTGCCCTTCCTTGGCATTTAAGGGTTCAGGGAAGCCCTGCCTGCTGCTCTGCCCACGAGACAGCCCCCCTGCCTGCCCGAGCAGGCTCCCAGGACCCTGCCCAGGTCCCAAAGGGCAGCCACACTTCAGGGCTGGACACACTAAGGTCTGTCGAGGGACCTAGCTGGATGGGAAGGCATTAAGTGACCAAACCTCCCTGAAAACCAGCCTGAGCAGCCATCAGACATCACTGTGTCACATCCTCCTTTGGGCAGCACAGCGGGGACCACTGAGCCCCTGCCCCTGTCAGCTCACCAGTTCCCAGTGCTCCTCATGGTAATACTGGTTCTCCCAGGACCACAGCCAGAAACACCGCCCAGCTCTCCTCGTCCTATTTGGTTTTCAAGTTCCCACTACCTCTTTTATCTCCTCTTCTCCATCACCCCCCTCCCTGCCTCGTAGTTCCTGGCAGCAACTCTCCCACCCAGATTTTGGCTTAACCCAGCCCACTGTTATTTTCCAAGCCAACTGCAACCGTAATCAGCTCAGCCTCTTTCCTTGGGGGTATTTTAATTTATACAAAAGTATCATCTCTTATCATGATCAGCCTGCGATTCATTTACTCTTCAAGTATTAAAAAGCCAGAAAGGAAATAAATTCAGCGCACGGAGAAACTAATGCGGAACGATAGGCTCTTTCATGTGGCATTTCCAAGTGCCGTTTTTGCAACGGGCTTATGTAATGAGACATAATTATCTGCACATGTTCAATTACATTACTTCACAAATCCTCCCTGCCTCTGCCTCCTGACGTCAAGCCGCCCGCTAAGCCTCAGCGCCCGTAGGAGAGGGGAGCGGAGCCCCCCGTCCCGCTGTACCCCTTTCCCTGCACCCTCTTGATAGTCACGCACAGTGTGACAAATGGCACAAGCCTTGGCTGGGAGGGTGATGGGACTGGATGGTCCACCCCGCTAGGATGCTCGGCCACGGGACCACTGTCCCACCTGTAGGACCACCACCTTCCTGCCCAGCCCAAGACCACCCCGCCTCAACCTTCAGCTTCCTTGATGGGGACCGCGGCAGTCAGCCACGTCCAGGACCAGCTACCCCCTCCTCTGTGCCACCCCGGCCAATGCCACCACCACCCACTCGGCGCTCACAGCCTCCTTTTCCAGGCTGCCCTCTTCTCCCAGCTTGCTGTCACCGCCGCTGAGATGGCGGACGATTGATCTGAGAAATGAAGTTGGATTGCTGTCCCGAATCTACACTGGGTTCTCCTTGTGTGTGTCTGATCGATTTCCCCCTGTGCGACACAGCTTGTCGCTACGAATTTTCATGCTAGTCAGAACCCGCCAGCGCACCCAAGAACAAGGAGAAGATGCTCCAGAGACCGCCCTCCCCCTCGCATCCTCCCCCAGCCCAGTTGGGCGAGGTTTTCTTGGGTTGACATTGGTTGGCTTGCTTTTTTTTTTTTTTCTCCTTTCCCTTTTATTTGCAATCATTATTGCCTCCAACCCCATCCCCGCCGTGATTTCGGATGCCGGCCAGGGATGGGTTATTTTTAGATGGTCGCTCCAGGACGGTGCCATTGGCGTCCGCGTGGAGCCATCTCTGGACCAGGGCGTTTGCGGTGACATTCCCCACCGCAGTTACGCGAGGTGTCACCTGTTTAGCAGCTCCTCTCGGCCGAGCGCGTGTGGCCGCAGGTGCCAGGCGAACGCTGATCAGCTCTGACAGTCCTAGACGCCAGCTGCCTGCACAAAGCCTGCCCGGTCACCACTTTTTTTGTGGGCAAAGCTCTGCCGTTGGCGTGACCGATACAGAAGCAATAAACTAGGTGACCGTAAAAGCAAAGACAAGTCCTACTAAGTGGCATTCTGAGCCCTATGGCTTTGAAATAATTGGTAGTGAGAGAACAAAAATGAAAAAAAAAAAAAGAATAAAACAAGAACCCAAGCCTATTTTTTTTTTCTTACACTGATGCCCTGCGGACTATACATCTGACTTGCTGCGAGTCCGTCACTGTATCCTCCTGTCTGGCTGATAACATGGCGAAGGGTATCCACCTAAACAGATCAACGACAACAAAGACACAAATTAGAATGAATGAAAGGTTAGTGGGCAAAGCTGTTTCAGTTCATCTTTGGCAAGATATAATATTATGTGATAATAATAACTGTGATGATAATAATAATAATAATACTACTACAAACAAAGGTATATCTTTACAGAGGGTTAAAAGAGAAGTGCAGCTGGTCTCGCAGTAAGAGCCCAGCCAGAGGACTGCTCCTGCCTCCCTCGCCACCCCATGCCTGCCCCATCATGCTCTCCTTGGCTCCAAGTCTTTTGACAAAAAGAGCAGAGAGGGAGAACAGTATGGGGTGGAACCTCCTGGAGCACATCGCTGCTGCCGGCTCTACCATAGTGCTCGAGGACCCATATTCCTGCCCCTGTCCCCTTACACCCTTCAGTCCCAAGCACTGTGAAGTTCATGGCAGTGGAAGGAGATCCTTGGAGTCGGCTGGGCGCTTTAATTTTTGGAGAGCCCGGAAAGGGAACATACCTACCACAGCAAGGGCACTGGCAGCTCTCCTCTGAGTGCCCCGTTCCTCTCCCTCGACTCCCCCAGCCCCAGAAGCCGTACGTGCAGCAAGCACATCTCGTCACCCACGGACGGCACATTTGCTCTGCATCCAGCACTGCGAGGGGAGCAACCTCGGCTTTAGAGAGCTCTGCTTGCCCAATGCAGAAGTGTCAGAGGGGCTGTTGTCTCTCAACACAGTATGGAGCCTTAGGTGCCAGAGAGGGGTCTCATGGCACATCTGGACATCGGATGGGAGGTTGGAGATCTGAGTGAGTTCCTGACTATTTTAAATTCTTTCTTTTTGCCCAAAGCATGGGCTGACGTTTCAGTAACGCTGCTCAAAGCTCCCTTGCTCTGTCTTGCTGGTGTGTACACAGGTGGTGTGAGTGCCTGTGCTTTGGGAGGTGGGGAGATGATGAGGGGTGGCTTTTAATTAAAAAAAAAAATCTAACTGTTTATTTGAGCATTTCTCGCCTTTCAGTAGACACATGGTTCAGCATCAAAGGAGTAAGTGGAAGCCTTGTAAAATGAGATAACAGTCCAAACATCTGGCCCCTTCTATTGGAAGAATAAAGCAAGCAGAACCTAAATCTCAGCTGCTTTCATTTGAGTTTGTGCCTGTTCTCCTGAACCTCCTCTCCTCCTAGTACGACTATCAAGCCAGAGCCAAATGCATTCACAAAGTGTGGGCAAGTCTCCTCAAGACCATGGTTGTTGGTTTGGTTGGGTATTTGGTTTTGGTTTATTTTGGATTGATTTTTTTTTGGTGGTTGTTGCTGTTGGTTTTGGGTTTTTTTGGTTGATTGGTTGGTTTTTTTCAGTTTGGTTTGCCTTTTTTAAGTGTTGGTTGGTTTGTTTGTGCTGGTTGAGATTTGCTCTTTTCGGACGGGAGGGAGAAGTGCCAATACAATCGAAGGCTCCGCCAACACTAATGCATTCACTGGCAGTACATCGGATGGGTCCCTACCTGTGACTGCACGTTGGCTCCAACCTGGGCCCCTTGGTAAGAATCCCCATTGAGAGACTGCACGCTCATGAACAAATCTCCAGAGTTTGACATGTTAAAAGAACTGGAAGAACCTGGAAAGGAAAGAGGGAGGCACCTGAATCACAGAAAGGAAAAAGATCCACCCCATGACTCTCAGCCAAGAGGAAGGAACAACATGCAAAGCAACCACAAAACCAAAACACACAGTCAGGTTAGTAGTATGAAGAACAGAGCAAGCAAAAAAAAAAAAGAACTCTTGAGGTTATTCAAAGCCACATGTTGTTACAGCTCAATGCCAAGAACATTCTTCAACAGCTCCTCAGCTGGAGGAAGGATTCTTCATGCTCTCGACTCAAAACCCAGCCTGGAGGACTCGGATGGCCTTTCCCCTTCATTTCAGGGTATCAAAATCCTTCAGGCAGCTTTGAAAATCTTGGCTGTTGGAGGTGTCCACCCAGCAGACTGCACCGGAGAACAGAATTACCCAAACAAGGCTCGCTATTGAGAGCAGAAGCCTTTTCAGCAGGGCGAACTAGGTCCACGCTACTGCTGTTTCCCAGCAGCTCAGATCGGGGTAGGTAAATCTACCCTGCACTGCTCTCTGCAGGGTGAGCACATCCAGACACCATCCAGCGCCACAGCCTGAGCTCCGTCTGAGCCACAGGGAGCTCTGCAAGGGAGCGGTGCGTGGGCTTTGCCTTCAGGACATCAGGAACCCATCACTGGTGGGAACTGCAGCACACCAGGAGCGAAGGCTCGCAAAAACGTGAAGACACCTGGGCTAGACTCCCAGTACCCATCATGTCAGCAAGTGTCTTTCGTTGTGTGATGGGCCATGAGAGATTGCAAGGGTGTCACAGCCCTCCTGGGCCAGCTGCCCCAGAAGAACAAGCTCTGTAAGCAAATTCTCCATGGCATGCACCAGTCGCCAACGTTACGCTAAAAAAATGTTAACGGTGAAGACAACTGGGTGGGATCAGGAAAAAAAAATCCATAAATTAAAAGAAAAAAAAATCCCGCCTTTTGCAGAAACAAAACAAACAAAAAAACCCTCCGCAACTACTCAACAGGAGAAACAAACCCACCATGTAACTGGAAGGCAAGGGAAGAGGGAAGGGGGTTAAAAATAAATAAAAAGGTTTTATGGGATTATTTCAGAACTTATCGTGCAGATCAGCGCGTTAAGTGTGAGACAGCTCAACGTGCAAGGTTTGGTTATATACATGACGTTAGCCTTGGAAAGGAGAGACTTCAGGGGCCCAGGTCAGCTACGCTTTCAGCTCCAACCCTAAATACACTCTCATCATCTCCACTGCCACTTCCAACTTGGAAGACTGGCAACCACAGTCCTGGTGGAGTTGCCCAACTATGGCTCATGAGTAAGCGCTGAGAAACGCCTGGCAATCCCCCTCCCTTTGCTGGAGAGAGACAAAACACTCTGGACAGACCCCAGCTCTGCCCTGGAGGTGGACCAAGAAGGATTCTCTGAAGGAAGCCACCTCCAAGAAAGATCAAGGAGCAGGTGGGAGGTCTATGCTGGAGACTTCATGTTCACTAAGCTTTCTGCAGCTCTCTGCAACTGGCTCTTTTGTCAGGTGCTGGCAATTCTCAGAATTGAAGGAAAGCAGAAACGTCACTGCTAGCTAACAAAGCCCAAGACAGTCAAGAGACTCATCTTGAGCACAGTGAGTCTTGGATCAGGACCCTCCCACCGGTGCCTGACAAGAGCAGAGCCAGGAATAGCTCATTGTCTGTGCTCACTGTCAACCCTGCCCAACCTGTTCCAGAGCAATCCCGCAGCACTGCGTAAAATAACCGGGACTAGACAGAAGGTAGCTGCAACCATCACCTCCTCTGCGCAGCTGGCAAAGGGCTCCTGTCACTTCCCGACCTCTCCCGTTACTTGCTATGTTAAAGGTAAAAAATCCTACAGAAATGAGGTGGCAGCGAGGACTGCCCACCCTGACACTGCTCAACTTTAAGCGTGAAGATGGGCACTTCCCACATACACAAAGATGCTTCCTACTGGGTTTTCTGAATGATCTCTTTGACCACCAGCACAGAAGGACAGGGCAGTAATGTGGCTTTGTCCTCTTGCAGTGGCTGAGAACAAAAAGGACTTTGCAGTTACTACTCACAAGAAGCACAGGATATTCTCCTGTTCTTTTAAGGTGAGCAGAAACCTTTGAGATCACACAAATAATCAGTGACAGAGCTGGGAAGAGGACTCGGGAATCCCTGAGCACCTGCCAGGACACCAGGACCGCTCTGCACCCACCAGACCAACATTTCATCCCACTTTCCTCTACCAAAAGAAAATTATAACAATAATAACAAATCAAAATGCCATAAACTTAACTGGTATTTTATTGAAACTTAACAAACCTGGCTGTAAAACCGAGACTGTGAGGGAGGAAATAAAAATAAACAAACAGCCACAAACTTGAGTTCTGAAGAGCGTTGGTGTCTTGGAAATCATGAGGAGCGTTGGAGATGTCACTTACAAGAAATACACTGCTATTGGCACAGGGTATTTTTACAATATATGTGCATATCTAAACAGCAAATATGTCTTGCCGCTGTTGTGGATGCAAAGATAAAATATGCGCATACCAATGGCCCCGCATGTATGGACGCATTTGTATCAGAGACGTAATTGCAGAGAGCCCTTTGCGCTGCCGCTCTGCTGCTTCAGCACTCCACTCTCTGCGTACTAGCCGTGTATGAAAATTAGGATGGCCCAAAGTCTCAGAGACATGGCTAAGAGGGGCTGACGCACTGGGGTGAGCGAAGGGGCAGGAACGTGAAGAGCCCTGGAAATTAAGACTTGGGTATGCTCCTCCATGGAGACAAGATCCAGGAATACAAGTCAAATCCTTCCACTAGAGGAGGGTCCACCACAAATCTGATCTGTCCTTCTGAAAGGCTCCACTACGAACACACCAAAGGTTTTCAGCCATCATCATTCAATCTGGGCCTCCTCAAGAACCGAGAGGTAACAAGTGTCATTGAGCTTGTGAATCCAGGAGCAAAGGGCTCTTTATCCTGGCATGGAAGTCCCTTGATGTTATTGGGTAGAGACAAAAAAAAAAAAACACTACAAAAAACAACACTTTTTGTGACACATAGCAGTGTGAAACAGTGATTCATCTTTAGCATCCAGACATCTTATCAAACCCAAGACCTATCGCTGCTATTCCTTTGTGTTGAGTTTCTATCAGGGCAACAGCAGCTTCAGAAAGAGCGGTGGAAATGTTTAAACGAGCTACTCAGATCTGGCTGCTGGATGAAAGCCTACATACACCAAAACAATGTCCACAAAGAGATCTCTTCCATCCCCTAGCATTTCTGATGAGCAAAACCCACTTCAAGTTTGCTATCAATTCAAAAATCCTCACAAGTTTGACTGCTGCTACATCATGCACCAGTTCTCCAACTCTTCAGAGTGCTGCTTCTCCAGCTTCTCTAATAATTTCTCTAATGTGTGGTCAGCCTCCACTTCTACCTCCAATTTTCCAGGACCTCTAACACGTCTTTTTCTCTAAACTATCTGACAATTCAAAAGGCATCAAGAACAAACACGGTAATGGTGTTCATCAGAGCTGAAATCTCGCCATCCTCATCTGCTGCCCCATACCACCTACCCCAGAGATCCAGCACACTGAACCACTGAAGTCAACTTTGGTCACGTATATAGGACTCCTAGTTGAAGTCAATGGCAACAACATACATACACTGAGAGCACAGAACTTACCCCCACCCTGTAACTCTTGTGTTTCTACTGCGGTAAAGATGAGGGAAGAACTTGATGGACCATGTGGACCACGTAGCCCCTCAGCTGGACAAAGCCACCAAAGTTGACAGCAGGTCTAGAAGCCTGGGATGACCCAGCAGGACATTTGTTCTTTTTCACTTGCCAACCAACACTCAAGACAGTGAGATCATGATCAGAACAGCCTCTCTGCTGAAGCAGGATCCTCTCCAGCCCTGCTTCTGGACAAGTGATTGCCACAAAGGGAGGAAGGCAGAGAAGAGGAGATACAGCAATCAGGCCCGTGCCTGATAAAGTTCATTTCCAGACAGCACAATCCCCTCTACCAGTAGCTTAGGCAAGATGATTTCTATAAAACAAAAGGATGAGCAGGAAAAAACTGTCTCAGGACAATTTTGTCTGATCTGCATGAAAGATTTCACTGCATGTCATCACCTGTGTGTGGCCCTCAAGGACTCTGGTTGGCAAAAGGGTCTGTCCACATGAAATAGCTTTCATTTGCCACGTGGTTTTTGTGCTGAGATTGTCCAGGCGATCAAAGTGAGGACGGGGAGTTGTTAGCCCAAATGAGCCAGGCATCTCAGCTTATTTGAACATCTGGCTGATAAAGCCCAACTGTGTGTATTCAGGATGAAAAGGTGTTTGACATTCAGGCCTGGGTGACTGAGGATGGGGGACCCTGCTTTGAAGGTGCCAGATGGCTAGACAGATGCAGTCCTTGCCCTTGTCAATGTGTGGCCAATCTCTTTGACTGACTGTAGCCATTCACTGATCTCTGGTAACACGGGTGTCAATGCAGAGAACAGATGGGCTTGCATAGCCACAGCAGAAATGAATTTAGCTCCTGTCCCAGGTCCCATCGCATCCAGTTTCACCTCCTCTTCCAACACCATGGCCCTCCAGGGACTACATTGCTGGTCGTTTCGTTCTCATGACCTGTCCTCTGCCTAGTCTCTTTTCACATGCCCTACGATGTATTTAAACCAGAAGAAGGTCCTACAAATTCACAGCAAATTCTACCATTGCTCACACTCCTTCCTCACCAAAGACTCAGCCAATGATCTGAAAACAGAAAGAAGTCCATGGTGTAAAAGGAGAGGCATCATCCATCCTAGTCTTTCACCTCTTCATCCACTTCCACGTTCCTCCCAGGGCAATTCAGCACATGTGGATGGCTCATGGCCCTTGACACCATCCTCCAAATCTTCCAAAGACAGGTATTTCAGACCCAGCGTGTACAGCTGTGCTTCTTGCTGCCAGCACCTACAGGACAACCTGAAGCAGGGGAGGTCACACGACTCCAAATGTCCTCAGGACATGCCTTTGCCCCACAATGTGACAATGCAGGGATGCTCAGCTGAGCTGTTACACCTGCAAGTTCAGCTGGGGAGATCTCAAACTGGGATGCCACTGTTGGGAGAGAAAATCCTGAAGCCCTTCCAGCTGTCTTCTCAGGAAGAGGACCTGGGAGGACATCCAACATCACTACATCTGCAAGCTGACCCAGAGACTACTGCAGTGCCCAGCGCCACTGCTGCAGCATAAAGGGAGGGTGGTGGGACCTGGGCCAGGTTAGAAACACTTAGCTTCTAGCAGAAGAAGGCTCTCCATGGCCCGCGAGCTCGCCTTGCACCATGGCTGCACCAGGCACGTGAAAAGAGGTTGATGTTTCTGGAGCGCAGATAAGTGAGCCAGAAAGAGGACCCAGGAGCTCAAGTCTTCCCCGTTTATAACAAGACTGTTTGTCCTTCCTTGAAAGCGTACTGTTATCCAGGGATTACATGAACTGTTTACTGCAGAGTACCGGCCAATTTATCTTTGAAACAGCCGCATTACTGCCTGTGGGGAAGGCAGGAAACAGCCTCACATCGAGCACTATTTAACTGGGCAGGCACTGGGGAAATGTTTATTCCACTACATGCAGGCCAGATCCAAACCCTCTGAAGGAATCTGAAGTTCTTCCCTTGCTGCTCTGGACCTTTGGGTCTGACTCCAGTTGAAGAAAGAGGGAAAGAAGGAAAGCTGTGTCTCTTTGGTCCAAGCTGATGTGGACTGCAGGACAGCATCGCAGGCAGCAGGCATCTCCCTCAACACGTGCAGTTCTGCTCTCCACCCTCCAGCCTTTTCTACAGGGGGGTGTTAACCTCAAGAGACCCCACCTGACCAGGTATTTCGAGTGAGCTGTTTGGAAAGGACAACATCTTAAAAACTGCAGCTGAATCTTCAGCAGTTCAAACAATGGAAAGAAAAGGGGGAAAAAAAGCAAACCCAAACAAACCAAAAAGAAAAGAATAGAAAAAAAATTCCTGCAAACCATGTGTCCCTGCAAAACTCTGCTGTGTCCACCTGAGCCCTCTGAGCACCGCAGCCAAGCCCAAGCAGGCAGCACAGCTCGCTCACGGGCAGCCCTGGGCCAGGAGGAGCTGGGAGAGATGTTCCCCAGTAGTATTCCTGACCTGCAACCAAAAGCTGTAACACCTCTAGATGCTCTAGCTGGCTCTGGGGGGGCAGACCCCTAGCAAGTAACCACCAGTGGGGTACCACCAGTGGCCTATTTAACATCCAGCTTCTCCTGCTGCCCATCATCCCCTTTGCACCCATCATTTCCTTCCTTTTAGCAGCCTACCTGTTAACAGCAAGCATCACGCCCTGGTCCAAGGGTACCAGAGCAGACACAGAGCTCAAAGGCACGCTCCCACTCTCCCTCCCACCCCTAAAAATAAAACACGCACACGGATATTTGCACAGATAACAAAGTACATGGCACCCATGAAATTCACTTTTTTCTCCTCCTTTTAAACAAATCCCAATTTTCCAGCGCTCTTGGGAGTGGAGCACAACCAGCCAAGTGCAGGTGGGGATCAGTTTTGGGTTGGCCGTCCTCATGGTAGGTACCACGCGTGAACTAAGCATCGTTCTCTAGCAGAGGAGTTGAAATCTGGGCAAAGTGCCCTGTGCCTTTGACCCTCAAAACAAACAAATGCAAACCACAGCAAAATGGGCAGGAAAGGGGGAAAGGGAAGGGAACGACCCATGGATTTCCCTGGATCACGCTGACACAAAGGGAAAATAAAATTCACACAGAGCACACTCTTGCAGGTGATCCAGACACTGTCATGTAAGCAATCAAAGGTAACCACAACAGAAAGAAAATCAAAAGATAAAAATCTATCCAAAACAACCCCCAAAACAGCATGAGTTAGGACATCCCAGAAACGCTGGGTTAATCCCTAATGGATAACCATTAGGGCCACTCATACTTACAGCCCCAGTGAAATAAAATCATTATGCAATGACTTTTTAATTATATTTTGTTTTCTTCCCCCAAAGTGCAAGCAATCCCAGCGACTTGTTTTGGATCATTTTTTTCTGGTTTTGTGTTTACCATCCATGCATATAACCCCCAACGCGGCACTGTCAGTCACAAGGTCTGATCACATTGTTTTTCCAACGAAAAACAGAACAGGGGAGGGGAAGGGAAGAAAAAAAAGAGAAAGGAAAAGGGGGGGGGAGGAAGCAAAGAAAATAAAGTACCTCCACAAAACAACCCCCAAAACCAAACCCATACACCTTTTTTTTTTTTTTTTTTTTTAAAAGACAACAAAAGTGAGACAACCAAAACCAGAAAATAAAAATGGAAACAACCAAAAGGAGAAAACAGGAGAGATATTAGAGGGAGGGGGGAAAACAAACATAAAACCAAACACTAACAACCCAAAAGAAAAAAATAAAACCAAAAACTAACCAGCTGAATTGGGAGTTGAGGGTGAGTTAGCCTGGCTTCCATGGGCTGACACATTGGTAGCCGTGACAGCCGTTTTGGCAGCATAAATATTGGCTTCCTCTTGGAATTTACCTATGTTCTTCTTGTACCGGATTCTCTTATTTCCAAACCAGTTTGATACCTAGAGCGAGTTTAAGAGAAGACAAAGACGTTAACGTTTCAGCTCTGGCGAGTGCAGCTGGGTAAGGAAGGTGGGTTAGTAAAATACATATTATTTTTCTCCCCCCTCGTTTTCCCAGCCATGGAAGGAAGCACCTTTTACCCGTGGGTGTCACACCAAGCCCAGGAAAGGTGGTGGGACACCCTTGGGAGGCCCAGTTATGTGTGGATATATCTGGTTCCTCTACGGATGGGACGTCCACTAAGGGGATGCTCCACAGGAACCGCTAGACCCACCCCACAAAAATATCAAATGGGTTTACAAAAACCTGAGAAAGTCAAATGATCTTGAAATTGCACAATTTGAAAACATGGATGTGTCGTTTTGGAGCTTTTTATTTGCCTCCTCCTTGGTGTCCCTTTGACAGGGACAGATGCCCTGATTCCCAGATTCCCCTTCTCCTCCCTTTGGAGAAGCCAACGTGGCTTTCAGGGAGAACACTCAGTGAATTTATTCAGGCTTGGCTAACACAGAAAATTGCCTTGATATCACTGATGCTCTGCTTTTGATCCACCTGAGTGAAATTATCACAAAAAGCCAGAAGAGAATGCTCTTCATCCAGTATTGTATGATTTACCTTAAGCTGCTATGTAACTGGGAGCTTCAGGGGAAAGCTGGAGAAGGAGAAGATGGCTCGTTGCAAGAACTGATTTCGGTCCCAGGCAACAAGTGTGTCCCTTGGAAAGGGGCAGGAGATATTTCCACTGTGTTTGCCCAGAGACCAGTATGGGCCTGCTGCGTCTAAGTGCCCAGACTTGCAGCTGAATGGGGCTAGTGGATTTATTTAAAAAGAAAAAACAAAAAAGAAGCGGGCTGAACTTCTTCATAAGTCAGGGGGGTGGCTGAAAATGATGTTTCCCTGTGCCTGCAACAGTGCAATGCATGAACCTGGGAAAGCCCCACGGAGAGGTCTGAGCAGCGATCCTCCTTGATGAATGCTTGGCAGAATGGTTACTTGGACAACCTGGATAAACACCCCAAAGTTTGCATGTCAGAGGTTCAGCACAGTGACAGCATAACTCTGTGAAACCAGGCTGTGGTGTATCTGGCCAGAACTGCTTCCCAGGGAAAATGTCAGGGTACCTCCTGAACCACCATGAACCCTGCGTTCCCCAAATCCCACTCAGTACCCTGCTGCTGACAATCCTGTTCACCTGTGGACACGGCATTGCATTGAAAAATTTCAGAGAAGACGTGGGAAATATTAAACCCACAGTTCAGGAAGCAGCTCTCAGCTTCTTCTTTCAACAACACTGAACACACAAGAATCAGAGGAACATCTTCCCATGTGCAGGTCTCTAAGCAGAAGACAACTTCCAGCCACTACTGACCTTGTTTGAGAAAACTCATCAGGATGAAGAGAATGGGCAAATGCCAGAGGACGCTGCAACTCTCCCAGAAGAGCTCCAGCACTCCTAGGATTGCTTGGAGCTGCAATCTTGAGCTAGCAAATCAACCTCTTTGGTGGGACTCCAAAGACATTCTCCCTTTGCCCGCTGGTGAGCAAGCACATCAGCGCTCCCCCGTCCAAATGGACTTTCCAAGCACCAAGACACAAAAGACAATACTGGATGTTCATCCTGGCAAGATCATGATTTTTTCCTCATCTTAGGGAAATTGTTTTGGCTTGGGTGTTGACAACTGAAACCCATGTGCTTTTATTCCTACGATGCTTTCTATGTGCAGTGCTCCTAGAGCTTCCACACAGAAGTGGCTCCATCCACCAATCTACCACTACTGAACTGCAGGTATCGAATCCTGTGCTGCTGCAGAGCAGGAAAAAGAAAATATAACCTGCAGAGACCCCTGTGAGGCAAAAGGTACTAACTCAGATCAGCACCCGACCCAGATCTGGGAGTGAACATTTCAACGGCACCAGGAGCAGGTGCCGTTTGGGAGCAGCTCCATCCCACTTGGTCCAACTTTCTCATTAATGACAATGTGCTCCTTTGTGATCTTCCCACTTGGCCATCTCTCTGCAACAGCTCTTCTGGCTTCAAATGCTGGAGCCGGCGGGTGAACTCTGAGTGTTACAGGAAGGAAGTCAGGACAAACTGGTACCACAGTTGATCTTAATCTTAAAACTTGTGAAGCAAGGAACCTGCCTACCCCTGATCAGTCTGTGAGTTCAGACCAATCCTGCTCATGACAGGCACAGATTCATGCTGTCTCATGTTCCCACTTAGCCTCAGCAAAAACAGAGACCTGGATGTGTGTCTGTTTCTACCTTCTTTGGACAAAGAAGGGAGGGAGATCCTGGAGACAGGCACAATGCAGCCTTGATACAGCACAGTCACACAATATCCTAAAAGCAGCATTTCTCCTGGGCATTTTCTCTTTGCAAGGGAGAAGCTGGAAGTGTGAACAGATGAATTAAAAGTGAGAGGAGAACCATCAGGGCGGTTTTACTTAAGCCAGTATGCGCTGTCTCTCGTAGGTAACTCTAGGCAGAATCAATGTTTGGGTCTTCTGACCCAGGGGATGCAATCGGAGTCGCTCAGCAGGCATTCCACACAGCAACGACACCTACCCTTGGACGCTGTTGCTCCTGGTGAAGGGAGACC